AAACATAAAGAAACAAGAACGTTGACTAACCTATCACAAAGATAATTAAAGAGAACTAGGTTATATTTTGGTCCACGATCTCATTGATCCACAAATAGAGCTTTATCTTCCGGTCACACTGATGATACTTCGAAGTTTTCAGATATGGAGAACTCGAATGTGTACTGCACTTCCATCGAAATACTATTAGTTGTGCAGTGACCAATAGAAACGAAGTTACAGAAAAAACGACTTTCTTAGGGTAAACCAAGGGAAAGAGTTCAAACTCGAGCTGTATTCGGTTCCATGTCCTATTGGTTTGGTAACGCGCAATAGAAATCAACATTTCAAATGGTAGATTTCACAGTATAATTTTGATATTCAGACAGTCTAGGATGATTGATTTGTATGATTCACTTTTTGAAGTGCACATAACTCTCGGATTTAAATCCGAAGTTTCCGCATTTATTTTGTTCTTTTTTTTAGATTTTTTGATGTTTATTCTTCATTTGTTAGCAATCTAAATACAGTATATGGCCAAGACAAAGGAACCAAGTAACAATTCTCGGTTTACTGATCTTTACGATGAGCCTGTAGATCACCTTCTATCGCCAATAAAAGGCTATGAAAATAAACCACTCGTTACGCTTGCCGAAGCTATTGCACCGGTATCTGGATATTTTAATGAAATCGAGAACAATGTGCTTGTTGCATTACATAATTGTCAAAATCCAGCTGATAACCTAACTCAACAAGAATCAGCTTCTATTCACTTATATACAATGGAATTTGTTGGCGGAAAAAATTTATATTTCTTACTCAATCGATCATTGCGTGCCGAAAATCGTGAAGATTTGACACAATGGTTCTCGTATCTCAAATTATTTCTGACCGCCCTACATAAACTACCATCACAAAGTAGACGAGTATGGCGTGGTATTCGTGGAGTTAATTTAAGTTCAAAATACACAGTCGGTACTAAATTCGCTTGGTGGGGCGTAAGTTCATGTACTGTTGACATGAAACTACTTGAATCAAACAAATTTTTGGGTAAACTTGGACTACGCACTCTCTTTTCAATTGAGTGCATCGATGGAAAATCCGTTTCAGCACATTCGTATTTTAAAAATACTGAAGCTGAAATTATTCTTATGCCTGGCTCCTATTTCGAAGTGATGGGCCAATTAAATCCAGCAGACGATCTTCATATTATTGAATTGAAACAGATTAAGCCACCGATGACATTAATTAAAGCACCATTTTCAGAATCGAACGAAAAGTCAGGTAAAAATAACTCAATACTTGTCATTTTACCTCCTCCAACCCATTGGCCCACTTATCATTTAAATCATGTTAAGGAAAATTTGAGACGCCAAAAGATTGATCTTCACGATAAAAAGAATCTATTTTTTTGCATTTATTAAGTAGATTGTTACAATGCATGTCGAATGTAGCAGTCAATAGAATAAACAGGATTACATTTCAAACTAAAGAAATCCTATAAAATGCTTGCTTTGAAAGGATCTTGTAAACGACATCTATCTATACTAAGCTAGTTATTAGTCATTGATTATGTTATACACATCCATAAGTTTTAAATTATAGTCATACGAACTTCAGTTTATTCTGTCGAGATTATTATTCAAGTCAGTTTTGCTGTTCTTCTTGTTAGAAAAAAATATCTCTGCAATTTAGTTGTCATTGTGTTAAACTGCAATGTCACATTTTACTTGTAAGACATGACCAATATTCCATCTCATAATTGAGTATTCCAAGAAAAAATATAAAATAGGTTGATTATTATTATTTTTCACTGCATAGTAATGTAAACGTTTTCCATCTCAAAAGCTACCTGAATTAAAACATAAAATCAAACAATAGAAAAAGTCTTCAAAGGCTTGAGAATAAAAAAAAATTATTTTGGTTTTCATTTCATTATCATATTCATTTTCAAAACAACAACAGACTCGAACTATTGAATTACGATTAAACACACCTAATGAATGAAAATAAAACATTCAGTTACTAATACATATGAGTTAGATGTGCCAGCGAACTATATTGGATAAAAAACCCTACAATTATCGATAAGCGAAAGGAAACAATAAAACAAGGCGAATTCAAGATTTCTTGTGTCGATTTTGTATGTTGTCACTGAAGCATAATCAGCAATCTTATAACTGATTACGCAGATGTCGCCTTTTTCGTATACTGCCATCTGTATTGAGACGCTTTGACTATTTAAAGTTGCTCACGGAAAAAAGTTTCAAAAGAAACCACGTTGCGCAACGATAAATGAAACTGCGGTTTCGATTAGTCTTTTTAAGTAAGAAAAATCAGACCATTAATGAGGTTTTATAAATCGTTTAAAACCACAGTTTCTGATGACACAGTATTGAGCTGCTGTTAGAATGTTAGTAATAATTTGACTATCGTTACACCGAAAAGTCACTCCAAAGTGCTTTTTTGTTTAATGTTGCTCATTGTGATTATATCGCAAACTATTTTCATGATACAGTAGTTTCGTTCGACTCTGATGTGCCCACAATAACTTGAACCTGAAAGGTTTCAGTTATCGTGCTCATCTGGAAACAGCGTAATGATTCCTCTCAAGTATCATGTTCACAATGTCACTTGGTAGAATCAGAAAAATTATTGGAATAATTTTCAGAAACTGGACAGAAAAAGTGGGACACTGGATGCTAATTGCTCTTACACATCCTTTCATACTTTGATACGTAGCGTAGTTTATATATCGCAATTCCTCATTTGATAATCGCGGTTTGTGTAGTCGTATCTAATCGAAGAGTATAAGATCTCCGTTTGGCTATATGAAATCATGATTTTAAGATTAATTCTGGCGGGTCGAAAAAATCACACTTTACTGCAGCTTTTGCTTAAAAAGAATTTTCATGGCTTGCTGATACAATAAAATTAATCTTCTTCCTCATGAACTCTATTCAAACATTCTATATTAACGATCATTCGTTTCTACTAATTTTGTTAAAACAACAAAAATTTTTCCTTTAATTTCACTGCAATCACTCTTCAACAAAAATACAGCTACAAACAACTGCAACAAACAGTATATGTTCTCAGTTGATTCTTTAAATTCGTACCACGAAAAAATATAGATCCATCATGTACTTTTTTTGTTAGGCTCAATCAAATATCTTCTACTATATTGACTTAAATGGAACATGACTACCAGCACGTGTACTTCAAATTAACAGATTTCGAACATTTTATTTGAAATGCACAGTAGTTATCATAAGAACACTAGTATATAAAACTAGTAAGGACCGATATATCTAATACTACGGTTTTTCTGAAAAATGTTTCCACAAGTTGTTTCACTAATATTGATTAATATACTGAAGCCTTCTTTTCCAAATTGATTAAAAAGGAGGATATGAATGAGCGCGGCCTGATTGTGATATAGAGTGTAGATGTAGAATGTCGATGTAGACATGGGTAAAATAAAGCCATATCCACACCAATACTCACACCTACTCACGCTCACATCTCACACTCTCAAGGTATCTGAAAGGTAGAGATACTACAAGGAAAAGTGTCCCCAACTTTGTAGCGCTAGTTTACACATGGACGCCCTTCAGTATATTTGCTGGTCTGCTATAAAAGTGCAGCTCGCTTAATACTGCAAACCATCACTATTATAGTCATCTGACAGCGCTATACCCGGCGTTCTCGTCTTTTCATGCTCTTCTTACTGCAATCAATATCTTTTACCATTCATTATTGTAAAATTGTATTATCGCATGATAACTCATGATGTCAATTTGTTGTTAGTTCTGATAGAGATCAACTTCTGTTTAGAATTTACCAGAGTCCAATAGTCAGAGTTGACAAGTAACGGCAGACTGGAAGGGTAGCTTACTACTACGCTCCATAGTTATGTTTATTAGTAACTTAATGTTTTTTCGAATTTATCTGCTGCTCATTTAATACATGATCATATAGCAAAAAAAAATGAGCCCAAGAAAAAAATCATAGATAGATAATAAAGAGGTAAAAGGAAAGAAAGATCAGCGTGAAGTGATATTAATGTCGGTATATATTCTGTTTCTATTAAAATTCGATGTAAAAGAGCATTATGAATTCTATTACATTACGTAGTAAAAGTGACAGTGTAGAATTAAATTCTGATTGCCAAAAGTAGTTACTGTTAGGGATGACATTCATCTCTATTTTACTTTGAAAAAGTAAAATAAAATATTGCTATTCAGTTTACTGGTAATTTAGTCGTTTATAATAATACTTTGATATATGTCTCAATATGTCAAAGCCTATTCAAAATTATACATCTATTAGACATGAGAAAAATGAAATAAGGTGACACGGACAAATAGTTCTCATTCATGGACACCTCGAAGTTTTTGCCTCTTTTTACTGCTGATATTAGTCTCAAGGTAGCATTGAAAACGATTTAGGGTGTGGATGAGTATGAGTGGACTTGAGTGTGGAGGTTCTCCTCACTCACACCCACACCATCCATACCCACACCTACACCCATACCATCCACACCCAAACCCACACCATCCATACCCACACCCACACCCACACTCACACCCACACCCACACCCACACCCACACCCACACCCACACCCACACCCACACCCACACCATCCATACCCAGACCTACACTCATACCATCCACACCCGAACCCACACCATTTATACCCACACCCACACCCACACCCACACCCACACCCCACTCACACCCACACTCACACCCGCATCCACCCACACCCACACCGACACACCACACCCACCTTCACCCACCCTTCTTGCATTATCAAAGATGTTTTTATCGCGTGTTACTTTACGGATTTCTTTTAGTGATCTCCAGCGTCATTTGGCTTGATGCTAATGTGAACGATGAGAGAACTCGAGCTACAGAACAAAAGTTCGCCTCTATTATTAATCATTTCAAGAAGTTTCAAGATAGAACACAATGTCAGAACTATATTGAAGAAAGATCACAAAAAGATCGACTAGTAATGATTGTTAGTGGCCAATTAGGCAAAGAAATAGTACCTTCTGTTCACAATCTTCAACAAGTTATCTCGATATATGTGTATTGTATGAATAAAGAAATTAATGAACAATGGGCTAGCAGATTTACCAAAGTAAAATTTAATCGAATGATTTTAATTACATTTTATAATTTTATGTTCATAGGTAAAAGCTATTGTTGTTCACCTTGATGAACTTATTTCTCGAATTATGACAGATCATAACATTCAAAATACGATAGAACAACCACTATCAACCAGTGGCATTATTACAGTTGCTGGTGCAGGTAATTCAACAATAAACGTGTACGGTAGGTTTCTTTTTTTTGCAAGGGTAGATGTGAGTGATTTAATTATTACTAGTTAAACCAACATTAACACCTATAACCACGTCTATCGCCTTCAACTTCGACTTTTAAGCAAAGCTAAAGTGTCAATTAGATTATTTCCCATGCTAGAGGTTGACTAATTTAGTATCCTCAGAATGGTTAATCAGACAATGACGGTGTGAGTGGGGATGTGGGTATCCTTATTGATGTCGATGTAGCTGTGGGTTGGATTTGAGCAACAAATATATCAAAATACACACAGACACCCGCATCAACCCCATATCCTCAACTGCAGAAGATAGTAACGTCATGGTGTATGCACATGAGAAGGAGTTTCACAAAATCAGACGTCTTCTATTATTTTATTTATTACTCGTACTTATTTCTCCGTCATTCGCTGATAGGGAATGTCTATCTTGAATTTCTCTGTACATTCATAGGAATGAAGCATACTCTCCAAATGCAGAAGATAGTCTTATTCACATTCACATCAGAAATAGCTCACAGTTAATAAAGTCATAAAAAGGCTTTCTTTTCAAAAGAAAACATGCGTCCTTTGTGTCTGTCTAAGTGAGAAGAGATTGAAGATGAACAAAGGAGAAATTCTTCAACAGTTTCTACTTTCATCATTAGAAGGCAATAATAACTTAAGAGCAAATAAAAACCCTATCACTTTTTTTTGCAGTTTCTATTTCTTTCTGCTGCATGCGTCTTGAGATAGAAAGAAGCATTACTCCGAAAAATGTGGACAATTTTCTTATTGATGGATCTTGTTACACAGTAGTATATGTTGTTTTCAATCATAGAATATTTTGAATCTTTCAAATTTTTGAGTGTGATCACGAGTATGTGTTTTTTTGCTTCCAAGCGCATCCTATATTCATAATTTCTCTTAATTTATCAGTAATCAAATTTTCTTTAACAGGAGTGCCTGACATAGTCGCCGATGATGAAAAATTAAAATTAGCCAAGAATGAAATAATACGCGCTCTTGACTTGGAAGAATGTGAAGTAAAAGATGAAATCATAAATGATTTGTTAAAAAATGGTCGACAATCACTGTTTAAGTACGAAGACGATTTCGCACCAAAAGTCTATAAAGCGGCAATAAACGAAAATGATGACATATTGATGAAATGTATGAAAAAATATTTTGAAAAACAGTGGGAAATAATATATGGTTCTTCGAATCAATGGTTTATTAAATTCTTACAGGAATATAAAGATGCCGTCAATTATGATTCTGTTTGGAAACGTACAGCTGAATATGGGCATAAATATATCAAAGATTGCCCAATCTTATCAATTGCTTTGCAACTACTATTTGAAGGCATTGACGACAAATTTTTTGATGAAACAAACGCATTCAATGATTTATTGTGCGAAATAACCAATAATGGTTTAAAATCTATAGAAAATTTTCTTGATAATGAAAAGCAATCGGTCTTATTGCAAGCGTTACGTGAATATTATCGTCCAAAATTGTTTGAGTTACTGAAAAAAAGTAATATCACAAATAAAGACGATTTGTATGACTTAGCATTAGAAAATGTTGCTAAATATGGTTGGTTACAAGGTTTAAAAGAAGTTGAAGACAGAATAATAGTGAAACATTATAAGACATTACTAAAGAATATTCCTGTATCTGACAATACTTCTGGAAAGCCAGGTAAATTTAATTTGGTAGAATACTTTGCTTGTTTATTCCTCTGAAAAGCAAATATCGACACTAGAAAAAGCGCTTTCAAAGAAAATGAACAATTCGGTTTTTGTATGCGAGTTGTTTTTGTATTGTACAATTCCAATTAACTATATGTGGCATCATAAAGTTTTAGATCAAATGTACTCCCAAAGACCCACAAAATTTGTTTTTATTCTCACATCTTAACACATTCACATATGTCATTTGATGTACGTGTAGCACAAATATGATAGTTCCAATCAATAAAAGTGTATTTTCTATGCGGTAAAGCCAGCGAAATGAGATCTCTCATGACGACACTTAAGATTATTGAATCTTTGATTTACACAATAAAAGACAATTACTGTCAAAGATTAATTTCCATGAGTAAACAAAAATTTTTAGCATCGAATTTTGATACGAAACTGAGCCTTTATTTTCGAAAAAGTGGCAACTTCTTCGATAACTTTATCAAAGGCTTTGTGAATGAAATTTTCTGACCGCAGTCTGATGCATTGCTTGTTCAATCATCCATAGAGCATCAAATTTTTCAATCCGGATACTTATTGATCAAATCTTATTAGTAGTCGGTATTTTCGTAAGAAACACTTTCTCTATTGAAAAGTTCAAATCAGTTAAATCTTTAAAACAACCTGTATTTTTTAATAGGTATAAACTGTGAACGATATAATTTCGCTCTCATTTAAGTAGATTTGTTTTTATTTTTTACTAAAATGACTGTTTTTTTTATGTCAAGGTATGACTAGGTGAAGAATGAAGAATCATTGATCAACTATGACATATTAAAGGCGAAAAAGGATTGGACTCTATTGTTTACTTATTGATGTATTAATCATTAAAAGAAGTCAAATTTTAGAAAAAGATCAATATGTGACGAATAATTAATGGATTTTTCGGCAGCATTTCTTTCTTTCCTCTTATTATTATGTTCTAATCCAATATATTGCAAATACGAGAGATATGTTCCTAAGCTAGCAATGAAGGATACATATTTTCACTAAATGGAAGAGGTGCATCTTAGCTTTATTAAGAGAGTGAGCGATGCACTAGATTTGACAAGATATAGTTATTCAACTCGACAGAGAATGATTGAATGAAAATTTATTGATTTATTTGTACTTAGAGAGTAAAATGCCTTTTAAATAAAGATCTTCAACATAATTAATTAAGCTGAATAAATAGGAAAAAAACAGATATGGATTGTAAATATTGATCTTCTTTGAATTTACAATCAAACTTGGTCAAATAGATAGCTTCCTTAACTTTTTCGCTCATGTACTGATCGATGACACAGCATCTTATTCTGTCATACACTATTCGAATTTCATGTGGATTAGGATTTTCTATTCATCCACACATCGAATCTTCTCGTGATCTCCCACGTACTATACGAATGATCAATTACTTATTGTTTAGTTCAACCGAAAGTAGACGGTTCAACATCAATAAACGAGCAATCATGCATGTTTGGTCAAGATACTCAGATTTCATGGAAGTTCAATGGCATCGGGAAGCTACGCGTAACATGGCTCTTCAATGATCAGCCACTTTCAACCGGTGATCGCTTGTATGTATCAGAGACTGGTGATGGAACATCCATACTGACAATTCTTCAAGCTGAACCCGATGATCAAGGTATCTATAGTGCTAGAGCAACGGGTATTTTTGGTGAAACTGAAGCTCAAACAACATTAAAGATTGATTGCATCCAACCTTTCATCAAAACTAATCTCAGTCCTACTCTGAAAGTCATCAAAGGCAAAGCCATGACACTAAAAATCGTTGCCGGTGGAACTCCAAAACCTCACATTGTCTGGATGAGAGACAATAATAAAATCGTACCTAATGATCACATTCGAGTGACGACGTCAATTGGTGACGATGACAATTACATACTAAACATCTCAAACATTCAACCAGAAGATGAAGGAGAATATTCAGCTAAGATTTTCAATTTTGGTGGATCACTTCAAACCGATAAATGCAAAGCTATGATTTGGAGTAAGTCATCTAGACTAATCTTGTTCTTGAATACATATACCCGTGCACACATGAAAAGTTTTAGTTACAATTTAATGTGAAGTGAAACTGCGAAACTGCTTTTCTTTTCTTCATCTTTAGGTGGAGATCATTATTCTTAAACTTGAGTATCGATGAGGATGTGAGTGTAAGTGGTTGTAAGTATTGATAGTGGCTACAAAATCCACACCCACATCCTCACATAATTGAATAAGCGATTTTTCCCAAATGACTTTTAAAATTAGATGATATCACTAGAAACTTCTTACCAATTACAAATTCAGTAGAATTTAAGACTGGAGTATGATTCTGGACTATTTAGAATGATTCTGTAGCGAAAAGCTGAGTCTATTTTTACTCGATGTAGAACATAAACTTCGATGTGATCTTGTTTTTATTAAGCGATGAGGAAAAAATATGAAAGTTGTTCGAAGGTAACAATTTGCACAAGTTTTTAAAATATTGTGCACTTTTGAAACACACTTTTGATTTTCTTGAAAAAACGACTATGTTGTTCTGGACGATTGTTTATGGTTAATCGATAATACCACATAATAGTTAGTTTTTCTCAAAATTGCATAAACAGAACGGATGTTTGTTCCTTATACCAACCATTTGGACTGTGAAGAAAAACATACCAGAGACACAAGTTTATGATTAGAAATCAGTTTACTTAAAACAAGTGAACTATACAATCTTGCGTTAGTCCTGCTTCAGATAACCTATGCTTTCATGCTATATGGAAAAATGCGCATAGATTGTTCTCGTTGATCGAAATCAATCAAATTTTGTTCCGTATTTAAACCTTTTTCATTCAGGTTTTAATGAAAATATGAGCATATATGTGGTGGATAGTTGAAATCTTCATAAACTTGAAGCATGAATGCAGAAATACCTGACCATAATAGACGTTCAGTTTATACTTTCACATATTTCATTGATGAAAGCAAGCGGGAAGTTTTCTGTGAATTATTCACTTTTCAAGTTCCTTCTTTTGTCATGTTTCTTATAATTTGCTTTATTATTTGAGTACTGTAAACGATTTAGGTGTCTGACAATTAACTCTCTTTATCTCTTTGACAATCTGAAAGCTCATATTTACAGACGAATTCCTGAGTTACGTTATTTCTTTTCTTTTAACGAGTTGCTAGATTTCTTTAGTTTTTAGATTTCTAGACAAAGCGATGATGAGGTGGTTCAAGAAGAAAAAATATATGCCATTCTTTTTCGTTCTATTCTTTCAGCTGTGCCAACGAAGAACATTTTTTAAAAATCTGTCCCTTTATTTTTCATCATGAGACGTTTTTTTATTAATTCTTCTTCTTCTTATTGTACCTCTTGGGGATACATAAAATCCTTCTTTTCACTTTGATGTAGATTCTCATCCTTCTCTGCAACCAATGCTTGAGTTCCTGCGATTCAATGGATCCTTAATATATCGGCGATTCCATAGGTTTCTCAAAATTTTACTATTTTACAGTTTCTTTTCATTCATCAGTTTGTTAGTGATCTAAACATTCTTCAGATTTTCAAGCTATCTCCCATTCTTTGACACATATATTTGTCTAGCTTGATTTGAGTTTCTTGAAATCTTATGAACTCTAAACATTCTGAGTTTTAAACCGCCCTAGGTTCTCTCGAGTGCATGTATTTCTAATAATTTGAATATCGTACATCATTTCAATTTACTCAACTTTCAAAATTTGTTTAGGTTCTTATATTACTGAGACTTACACTTCGTCTCAACATGCTTACGTTTTCCTGATTTACGTCTTCAAAATTAATAGAAATATTTGCTATAGACATTCAGTAATGTTTACTTACTATTCTTAGTCTTTGATGAGACCAGCTGCTATTATCTACTGCTTTAGTAGATGATAGCCAGAGTTATTATTTTTCAAGCTTTCTTCATCTAAAAATTTGTCTTTTTAGAATGAGGATTATCTTTCGCGAAATAATGTACAGTATTCTGTAGACGCATTGAACGCAAATGCTTCTTTTTTCTAATTATACACAACTTATCGTATTTTGTTCTAAATAAAACAGATTCTACCGCTGTAAGTTTAATGAGAAACATCTCTCATTATTAGATTTCAATATGTTACTTCGAATATCATAAAAAGGACAAGTGGCGATAAGGATATTTTTTGTCCAAAACATTTTTCGAAAAGAGTTGCA